GGCTGGGGCTTGAACCCTCGACCTCCCGCACAGCAGTCCAGCGCTCTATCCATTGAGCTAACTGGGAGGTGGTTATTAGCTTAGTTCTAGGTGCCATTATCATTCTAGGCAACAAAACAAAATAACTGTAACAGTTATATACAAGCTTCTCCTGGTTTATCACTTACCTTGTTTTATCACCAGTTGCTCTATAAGTGAGAAACTCAGGTAGTTCTAAACAAAGTGCACATTTATCCCAACAGTCCATTTGCAAATTTTCTTTTAGCCACAGCATTTTTGGAATCTCCATTTCTGGTGAAGTAGCTCCACCAACATATGTTAACACTTTGTGTTTTGTACTGTTGACTCTTTCAGCCTGTTCCATGGCACGGTGATCCAGCCACATTATAATATTTCTGTGAGGTTCTTTGGAAGGACTGCATGTGACAGGACCTCCTGATGAGTCTAAAGTCACCAGGGAACATGTTGCATCAAAACCTATCCCTTTAACCTTTCCCTTATCAGTGAGACTGGCACCAACCTCCTACAAAAAAGGTTATAAAAGGGTGGTATACAAATTCTATAATTCAGTTTACTGCGCAAACTTTTGCCACTGAAAATTCTCCACCAGTGAGGGCCAAGTTGTCAATCATTATGCCGTATTAATTAATTGCCACTTAAAAGCAAAAGTCAGGTAAATGTTTAATCAGAATTAGGACAATCATAAAATGATTATGTCTATCCTTTTACTTGTGTATAAATGATCACTAAGGCGAAGTGTTAGAAAAATCTGATCTTGGTTCAAATACCCCTTAGCAAGTTGAAAAGGGGTCAGTGGGGGTGCCTGTTAGATAGACTACAAAGAGCAAGGCTGATGGAGGGTACATCCTGTCCTTCACCAGCCGTACACTGCGGGATCATAAAAAGATACCTCTCCCCTCAAGCTCCTCCAGGGATTACCGATCCAGAGGATCGCGAAACTTTGAAAACTTTCTCATATTCCCATAATTTTTTCGGAAAATACCTTAACAACTAAGCAGACATTTCTCCATACATCTTCGGATGATTGCTCATAGTAATCAGTGAGAGGTTGCCAGATTTGCAATGGCTGCGTCGCGGATGAAACGATTCTTCCATCGTGGGTTATCAGAGCAGCACGAACGCTAGCTGTTCCAACATCAACACCTATATAATAGGATTCTGCCATTTTTTGTTACGTATACAGCTGTAGTTATGGGCACCCCATACATGACAACTTCCCGGCCATGTCAACAGATCGCCATATTGGACGAGCGGAGTCTGGTAAAGAACAACTTCCGTGTGACATTTTACCCTCACCCGTCCCCCCTTTCCGATTTTGGCAGGTTCCGTGTTTCCGACGGACAGGTAAGCCAGAATATAGCTGCAACTTCCTATCGCAATTTCGCTGTCTATTGAATCTCTTGAAATTCTTCCTATTAGCCCTCTGTCCGACTCCGTCGTTTTAGCAACGAGCGCAAGTCAGGATCTGAGAGCGAAATATTCAAATAATCTCAAGAAAGCCAGTTAGTAATTTTCCCCAAAGTAGTGATAGCCGAACTAACGGATTATGAGAGAGTGGCAGATTATAGAACCTCACCCTCGTTTTCTCTCCGAAGGGATTCCTTCACTAAGTGGACTCTCGGGTATCAGTAAATCGCGCGAGCTCTTAACCAGTGACGCGCGGATTTTTAGGAATGTACTTTTTCTCACGATCTGTCGTTCTTTTCAGCATTGTTGTGGTTTATGCAGGACAAATGGGATCTGTCTCTGGTGCGTTTAGAATTAGGCAAGAAAGGATAAAATGCATATTTTATTAGAGTAGGCCGTTAGTTGCCCAGACTGAACTAGAACTGCCGTTTTCAATTCATGATAGCAGAAAATCAGTGAAGGGAAAAGTATGGTTTCTTTCATTAAGAGACAAATAACCTTGATAAAGATTATCAATTCATCAATGACCAATTCCGTTGTGATATATTGCCTCTCTTTCAACTAGAAGATTTGTCGCTTTTCATTATTGCTGCAGTTTTTAAAAATGCTTGCAAGTGCTTACCAGTCATTTGGGAAAACACACACAATACTTATTTATCACTAGTTATCTTACACCAAAGACAGAAAAACAAACAAATCTAAGTAAAGAAAATAGTTTAGAGGAGTTTTTGTTTATTTCTTCAATTTCTGTAAAGTATTAAACGTATTTTAATTAAATAAATTGGGAAGTATTAAAGAGAGAGATCTTTGCGGGGCGGCTAAAAGTTTTAACCCACCCTTAATTTACAATATTGCGACAAGAATATTTCGATATTTCGCTGGGATGTTTTCGTGACATAAAGCACGTCGAATATTAAAACACGTTCAACTTTCTGAGATAGTTACACTTCCCGTACTTAGAGCCTCCGCCACTGACGTCATTTGTGATGACCTTAACGGTGTGGATGGTAATTGATAATAAATTGCTAATTGGCATAAAAAAATTGCTTTACCCTTTTCACTTGCATTAGCATTAATATTTACACACTGTTCTCTTTACATTTCCCTTCAATACTGACCTAGAGAATTTTTTGGACCACCAAGAGCTTCTAAATTAGGGATCATTTCCTTTTTACTCGTGAGCTCTACATCTATAGAACCCAGTCTCTCTTAGGGTTCAAAGCGTTAAAATACCTTATTGAACTAAGTTTGACTCTGACTTGGCGAATTATTTGGAAACTTTTTATAATCGTCTTTTTAAACGGAAAGGTAAAAAAAAAAAACTGGTCGTAAAAGCTAACAACATGGAATTCACTGCAGATGGATAAATTGTAGAAAAACTAATTTCATAATTCCTACCGCAAAAATGCAAGAAAGCTTCGATGTTGACAACTGAGGTACCTTCACTAAAAATGCACGAATTTATCCCCCAGAGTTTTTATTAAATTAAGATCGGTATTGCATAATGACTGTTCTGTGCCAATCATATGCATGTGTGCAGAAACGATCGTATGCTTGAAGTAGGTTTTCTCACTATGTATTCTTTTTTCTCTTTTACTAGTGAATAATAACTTATAATTAATGATATATCGTTTGTATGAAAAGATAAAATGCCGACAATATTGGTAGTACTGAGGATTTTTAGCGTGCGAAGTAAATATTAGAAAAAACTTTTCTATCACATGTAACACGATTAATCTGAAGATGAAATCGGTTTGAGATTTATTTTTTCCAATATCGTTTTTGAGTTTACCTTTTTTGTACGAATTTTACAACGCGTAAACACTCCATTTGTAAGCAATCTCAAGTGACCGTGATAGTGACAGCATGACAAAGTATAACTATATTTGTCGCGGGGTGAACACCTATCAGATATCACTCACTGACACTCACATAGCAGCTCTTTGTTTCATATTTTCTGTCAGTCAAATGAAGCAAGGAAGTATGCACCTGTAACTCGAACTGGTAAGAGTCCTGCAATAATCTAAGGCAAACTGTCGCTGTTGGCGTAAAAGTACTGTTGTGTACTTGTGTTACTTTAGCTGATTATCCAAGCTCATCGGATAAGTCCCCGGCACGTGGGTCAAAACATTTTTCTGAACGTTACTGCGGAAGGTGTTGTAAAATTTCAGCGGAAATGCGCCCAGAACTTGTTTGTTAACGTCGAGGCAAGGTTGAGTTATCTGTTGAAAGGTGAGCTTTGCTACACTCTCAGTGGTTTGGTTATCTACAACTTGAAGTGAATGACGAATTATGAACAGTACTTGTCTTGTAGGAAGTCGAGCGTGGCCTACAAGCGTATGGGTTTGACAGTCAACTAGTTTGGCTGAGGAGAAATTTGTAAGAAATGATTGCCTTACAAAGTATCAATTTTCCTCATATCTTCTCATGTACAAATATGAAAGATCGAGGTTGTGCTTCTTGTGATTATAAACTGTTATATAACATGATTTAAGAGTTCTCAAACGCAAAAACACGAATCATCTTGTCTCAAGCCAAATACCCTTGTGACGGGTTCTAATCGATACGTTTTGATGTCTTATTCAATTTAAGATCAGTATAGAACAGAAATATCTCATTTTGAAGATTGTGACGCTACGTTTACTATAGATGCATCTAAATTCTTACGTTGCACGTAGCGTTGGCATTTTTGGGGGTCAGGTTACGAGAAGGCGCTGAACAAAGGAAGTTATTGAGTCCTTCGCTTTTTCCGCAGTCCTTGAATGCACCCACGTTCACTTGAAAAAAATAGTTGACTCATGGAGCACCAAAATTAGATTTGATTTATAATAAAGTTGAGAGGTCTACTTCTGAAGAACCAAACAGCCATTTCCGAATTGACTTTAGCCTCTCTTTCAAAGCGAGTCGTGGCCATGGTGCTCATCCTTTCGTATGGTAATAAGGGGCGCTTTCCATTTGACCAAAATTTTCGAGATCTCCGGTCTGAAGTCGAATGGAACGGGAAAAGTTCCGGGAAAAGTTTTCGAAAATTTAGGAATACGTTTTGAGTGTGCCCTCTTGGATACGGTCGGATGCGTTCCATTCGGCCAGCGAAAATACCAACGTTTTGAACCCGTGATTTTTGTTGAATGGAAAGCGCCTGAGTTTTCATTCACATTTCATACGTATGGTTGAGCACCAGGCCTCGTTTTGAAAAAGAGGCCAAACGTAATTCGGAAATGGCATATTATACTATGGTATATTTTTTTCTGTAAGGTATTCCATTGGCCCATGGGGATGGTTTTAAGAGTTGATATTGACAGGTATCTTTGAAGACAGTTTCCAAATAAGATTAAGAGGCAGACAAATTTCTTTTCTTATTTTGTTACAACATCCTGCTTAAAAAAATGTTCACAATTTTATGACTTTTTTTCTGCACTGAAAGAAATTTTATGGTTGGCTCAAATTATTACAGGAGTTTCATATAACCAGTTGTAATGGCCGTGAGGTACACTCTGAACTTGTCAGTTACCTGTCTGACCAGCACAGAGGCTGATGATTTTGATGAGCATAAAAGATGGCAGAAGAAGACAATGAAAGCAAGAATCCTAATTGGAGTTTTAACTGCCATTTGCAGTATACTCATTGTGATATTAATTGTAACCTATGAGAGTGGTCATAAATATTCCGCATGCACAGAGCAAAAGAATGAAAGAGCTGTCAGCAATGACATTATCAAGTTTGTCCACTTTTCGGATATACATTATGATCCTTTCTATGACAAGACTATACCCCAAAGATCTTTTTGCCGAAAAAAAATTTCAAATAGTACAGCAAAGTACACAGCACAGTATGGAAGGATTGGGTGTGATTCACCTATTGATCTTGTGCAAAATTCCTTGGATGCTATACAGAATGTCAGCAAGATGGAGGATGTTAGCTTCATTTTGTTGACAGGTGGGTAACAATGTAAAAAGCTGAAGTTATCTTAAGTTATGATAATTAAAAGATAAGAATTAAAGGTTTGATTATTTTGTTTAGATATGTCACCAAGAGAATGGCAACATCATTGAAATCCTCAAAATATTCCTATCAAACAATATTCCTGACAAAAATAGTCCTTGCAAATCTAATATCTTAAAAACACACAAAGTACAAACAAGATACAGCATGTCTGCTAGGTTTATAAAATAATTTTTTAGCAAATGGAACCCTGTCTTTTGCGAGAGTCATGGTAAAGTGCAATTGGGCTGGAACATTTTATTTTTTTGACATTCAGGTCATACAAGGTGTTTCTTCTCTCCTTTTGCTGTGTGATCATGCAAGGATATCCCTATTAAACACAAAAACTATCAAGATGGTAGAGAAAACTTGTTCAGATCACTTTTTGCAGGTTTCTTTCTTGGATGAGGAAATTCCTTTTTGCAATTTTCTAGTCTCCCCTCAATTCCCCAGTCTCCCCTCAATTCCCCAGTCTCCCCTCAATTCCCCATATTCTCTACCCTCCTTGTGTATAATGTTGCACCCTGTAAGGTGTTGAAACTATGCTATTGAGTATATCTAGTCCTAGAAAATTAAGTCGTCAGTCATAAAAAGTGAGCTAATCATACATGTCTTGCTCTTTTGCGTGTTTATTCAGGTGACTTGTCAGGTCATGGGATGTGGACATCTTATGCTGGTCCACATCGAGTATTGGACAACATTGCTCAAGTCAGCAACAGAACTCATGCAAGGTTTCCAAATATTCCCATCTTCCCAGTGGTTGGTAATAATGATCTGCCAGGACATTATGTTTTACCAAACTCAAGCGACTGGTACAAAGAGCTTTTAACCTCATGGGCTCCATTGATTTTGTGCTCCTCATGTCCCAATGATGTAAAAAAGCCAACTACATTGGTTGTTTTAGAAGAGAGTTTTTTGGAGGGTGGTTATTACAATGCCAGCATTGCAAGTAATTTATTACCTTTTTGTACTTTTGTCTAGTATTTTTCACCACTCACCTCTGACCTCTAGCCCCTGACTTCATATTGCCCCCTACTTAACCTTATATTAGACAGGTTGATAATGTTTGGTGGAGGAGAAAGTAGCTGGTCATGATATCATATGTGCAGTAGTTGCTAAACCTGAGGACTAATTTTTAGCCTTCATTTCCTTCTTTTAAGGTGGCAAGATAGTGTTATTAGTCTTAAACAGCCTTTACTGGTCTGTAGCAGTGGACCACAATGCAGAAATCTTTCAAAAGGCTGTCCAGCAGTTAACATGGATAGAATACCAGTTAGAAATTGCAGCAATGCGAGGACAAAAGGTGATATTGGTGGGCCACATCCCTGCAGGGTATGTTCAGTATTGTACCACAGCTTTAAATTGTGTTTTCCTTATTGTGAGATGTTGTTCCACAGTAGTTAGTAGTGGTTGGAGAATTATAGAAAACGAGTATTCCCTCTGCTTTATGGCTGCCTTTCTCCATTCCACTGCGAGGTTTCTTCCCATTCCCCCCTTCCCTTTTCCCCCTTCCCCACTTTCCCCCTTCCCTTTCCCCCCTTCCCTTAGTGATAGGGGTGAGGGGTAAATTGGGAGACCCAGGGAACAAGAATAACTATTTTTCATCCATGCTCTGCTACTTACAGGTAACCAGAACCTAAAAGTATTCAGTACAATCACCAATCCCTGCTGCTATTTTATTTCCTTGTTGTGTATTGTTTAAATTCTGACCAAACTCTATGTTGGGGCTGCTGTCCTTTCCTTTGCTTTCACCTCGCCAGCGAAGTAGATGATCTTTTTCCAGTCGTAGCTTTCAAAGGGTTGCACTGCGCCGTGAAAGGCCACGACGTGTTTCCTTACATAACTTCAAGCCATGTTATGGCTCGCTATGTGACTTTTCTGTTATCTTATCTCTAAGATCCTTATCACATAAACGTTTTGTGTCTCTTTTCGTTAGAATCGATACTTACGACGGCAAGTCCTACTGGTTCAGTAACTACACTAGTAGATACGTTAGTCTTGTTGCAGAAAAGTACAGTTCTTTTGTGACTGGTAAGTGTTTTATTTCATGTTTTTTCATTCTTCTCAAAACCAGTCCCATTCTGATTTAAACATGTTAACGCCCATGTTATACACAAGTTGCGTTGCGTCATACCCCTGTCAATTAATGCCCTTGTGATCAAATATTTTAAAAACTTTTTGAGCCCATAAACATGATTACCTATTCTTTTTATAGCCCAGTTCTTTGCTCATTCACATAAAGACGATTTCCGTCTTCAGATGTCTATGACAGAAACTGAGGACGCTCAACAAGGAGCAAAGAAGGCGTTTGTGCTTCTTGCACCCGCCATATCTCCTGTCTACCATAACAACCCAGCATTCAGAGTAGTCTCTCTGGACACTGACCAACTTGCCCTGCTGGATTACACACAGTATTACATGGACTTAGTCATGGCTACAGGTGAGGGATGCCAGTGCACCCTTTGTGCCCCGAAGGGGGGTGGGATTTGCATGTAATAGTGACGGTGATATTGAAATCGCTCAAAATTTTCGAAGATTAGAAACAAAAAAAATTAACACGAAGACTTACGGACGTAACAGTCTGTTAACGCCTTGCAACAGACGTCCGCAAGACATTGCGGTGCTTGTTCGGAAGCGAAACGGGAAATCCAAACAAACACTTTAATTCCAACACGGTCAACTATAGACTCACGGTAAACGACAACGACCATTAAAAACAAAACTGCCACTCAGAACTTTTCAACTCCCCCTAAGAAATCGCACACGTCAAAATTAAAAGGTCCGCGTGATTTGCTTACGATATTATTAGCCTACGTAATCCCAAAGCACGCGCACACGAGTCGCACGCGCACAAGTTCATTAACGTCTTCTTAACAGTGCTCATGTAGAAATTCAAGAATAGTCTTACGCTAGTGAGTGCTTCCGCCCTAATGTCGTCCGTAATGATTTTACACTTGCTTTGGATTGGTGATTTTTGAGTACCACGTTTTAATTCTACACACTATGGCTAACCTACCAAAAGATTTGTAGAAGTGTTCTCAAGGTCAAATCTAAATAAAGATTAGAGAGAGTCACCTCTTACAACTTTTAAAAGAAAATGAGAAAAATTAACTTATCAAACTACTTTACTGATTTCTCGTCTAATCAGTTTTACACCAGAGATGGTAACTCTCGCCCTCGTATTTTTTCTTTCAGTCTTCTTTGGAGAAGAGTAGGGAGACAACCGCCAGTTAACAAATGTTAAACACCACAGCGTACACTATTGAGTTGTGGATGCACGCGGGAGGTTGCTAAGCACGAAAGAAGCGTAAGAGTCGCGCGAGGCGATAGCCGAGAGCGACTCTAGCTTCTTGAGTGCTTAGCAAACCTCCCAAGTGCATCCATAACTCAATAGTGTACGCTGTGGTGTTTACCATTTGTTTTATAACATAACATTGATACATTGTAGCTAAAGAGTTCCCTTTTATTTAACAAATCTTACGTGACCAGAAAAAACAAGCGCGCGCGGAAAAATAGTCTTTGCATTTGCTCACGTCAGCAGCGTACACCCATGGGCAAATGGGGGACGCTAAATTGACCAATCAGAGCGCGCGCTTTACTTTGGTTATGTTATAATTAACAATTATTCCACGAGCGCGCGTTGGATATGAGATGATAGATAGCCAACGAGGCGCGTAGCGCCGAGTTGGCTATAATCATCTCATATCCAACAAGCGCGAGTGGAATAATTGTTTTATTAAAAACGCCCCCAAGAAATTATTATTTTGTAAGAAGAAACTGGATTTTTTAGCTCCCTTTTGATTTTAAGCTGA